AGAAAAACGGAATCAATATACTTACACATATGTGCTGTCCTGAAGATAAAATCATTCGAATTCCGGATTCATTTTTTAAGAACAACAACTTGTCTACTCTTCCCTATATCAACTCTGCCCCATTCCCACGAGCTCCTTTTCTCTCTTCCACAGGGAACCCGCTTCTATCATGCATAAGCTATAACAGTATGATTAAGGATTCCTGAAAACAATAAAATTAAAAGCTTGATTACCAGCTATTTGAATATTTTCGAAGGATGTTTTTAATATTGCTTCTTTTCGGATCCTTCAAAAAATTGTTCCTGCACTCGTGTCCAATCGTAAATATCTAAAAAAAAAAATTCACAGAGTTGAAAACAACATTAACTTCAGGCTTAAAAAATCGAAATTCGAAACCTTTTTGATGGATTGTTTACTATAGTAGGCAGTCACCTTAACGATTAAGAGGCTTAACGATTAGAGGCTCTCTTGGAAAGGCTGCATATGATTTCGTTGACAGGAAAGAGCTTTTCATCTACTTCAACTCAGGAAGTCAGCACTTTTGATACGAGAGAATGTTTCTCTTAGTTTTAAGTAGATGTGACTAAGTAGATGTGACGATGATTTTAAGTTTTGAGCTTACATATATCTGTCCTTGTTTGTTTTTACGAGGGTAGCACTAGCCAGTGTCTGACAAACCTGTCGGGCCATCGTTCCATGATCGAATTGAGTTAAGGAGTAGATTTTCTTGGAAGGAGAAAAAAACAGAGAACCCGGAGAAAAAACCCTTGAAGCACAGGAGAAAACCAACAAACAACCCAAATCACATACGACACCGAGCCCGGCGAGACTTGAACCCGGGTCGCATCGATGAGAGGGTGCTCCCCGCGCGTGCTACTTTATTACGGCTAAAATGCAGCAGACTAAACTTAACGTACCTTTGGCAGTTAGCCCGCAGTTTACGGGATCGCAACGAAAACGAAATATGATTCATTTGTTTGAATAATGCTTCGATGTTGCTTCAGTGTAGCATCTACTAGTGTGATGCAATTACAGTTGTTATTGTTAGGGGTCTATCAATTGATTACGGGGTAGCCCCCCTCTGTTCCTTTGTATATTAGTTGCGCCATATTTCAAATGGAATTTTGTCCAAATATCTTAAGCTTCATCCTACTGAGTCAAATACTCTCTCCACTTCTCACTAGCTGATCCATCCAGGGGGGCGTCCTGCGGTGCACCCCCCCTCCCTGTGTCTCCAGATCCTGGTTGTCTGCCCTCGCTAACACGCATAACCAATATCAAATGGCTCTAATGAATATACCTTTGAGTTTTTACAAGCAATTTTTTTTATTTCTACTAATATGGTTAATTCTTTTCTTTTTTAGCTTGAAACTCTCATTTCTGTTCTGGTTTCTCCAAGACATCGGAGGCACCCCTGTGCTCTTCACCCTCATTGTCCTCATCAACTCTCTGTCCGAGGTCTTCATGTTCTTTTTCGCGACATACATCGTGAAAAGGGTAGGCCACGATGCTGTGTTATACAGTGGCCTCTGGTGCTATGGGATCAAGTTTCTCATCTACTCGTATATCAAGAATCCCTGGCATGTTTTACCGTTGGAGTCTTTGCAGGGTGTGACGTATGGGCTGGTGTGGACTGCTAGTGTATCGTATGTTGTTGCAGGGCCAGGTAAGATTATCAGACACCACTATCAGTACGTGTTTTTCTTTTGAATTAGAATCTGATTATTATTTAATGTATGTGAGAGACCAGACTACGAGGTGAACATGGTCTGTTGGATGTAAGGATAGAAAGATGAAGGGAAGGAGGTCTGGGGGGTGCATGGATGGAACGGTGCATATAGATGGAGGAATAGAAGGATGGATGGGTGGGTGGTTTAAACGAGGATATGAAGGAGTAAATGAAGATTTGGAGGGATAGAAGGATGGCTAATAAAGAAATATTGCATAAAACAAATAAAAAAGGAGTGAAAAGGGAGGAAATAGCATCATTAAAAAAGTAAACAAAAACACCCAAACTAACAACAACAAAAAAGAAACAAAAAACAAAAAAAAAAACAAACAAACAAAAAAACAAAAACAAAAACAAACAACAACAACAACAACAACAACAACAACGACACCGGCATAAAGAAGAACAAGCAAAGTAAAGGAAATAAGCAACGATAAATAAAGTAACGAAGAAATAAAGATATAACTGCGGTATCGAAACTAGCTCTTTATTCCAAATGCACCATATGATAAGCCTGGTCGAGTTCACAAGTACTCGCTGTTCTTTATCGCGATATTCAACGGATGTCGTGCCGAATTATTATCTTTTCGATCGATACATGTTTAATGACTAATTCTAATTTGGTGCGATAGCATAAAGCGGTACTTTACCCTATTTTTTTGCGTCTAAGAGATTTGATAAGAAAAACAGACAATATCTTCGAAATACAAAATATATCGTGACACGGATATTTGTTGCTTAGGCTTTTTCATTCGTATTTTTGTAGCCTTAGGGCTGCAGCGTGGTACGTTTAACCCTTAACACTTAGAGACTAATAATTCTAGTGAAAAGTGAAAATTGAATCGTTGTCCTCGCAGACTGAAAGACTGCAGGGTTAACGCTAATGATTTCCACAAGTATATTGAAAAGATTGATTGCTGATAGGTACTCTTTACAAAGAAAGAAAGAGACTAAGAAAGGAAGAGAGAAAGTAAGAAAGAAAGGAAAAAGAAAGAAAGAAAGAAAGAAAGAAAGAAAGAAAGATAAGCTCAGTAGTGT